ACTGAACATGGTATTTGATGTGCGGCCTCACCAGTGCCGAGTACAGGGGCACGATCACTTCCCTGCTCCTGCTGGCCACACTATTTCTGATACAGGCCAGGAATCTGTGAAATGAAACTTCTAGCAAGCGGTGGACTTGCTGTTTGGTCTTGCTAGCTGTACTTACAGGAACTCCCTGGGGAGGGAGGTTGGGTTCGTTGGGGTTTTTTTATTTCGTTTTAAATTTCAGGGCTCTTCTGAAGTCCCAGGTATACTTATGAAGATTGGCTCTGGAAACTTGATTTGTCTGGACTAATATTTGGTGGTTGTGCAGCACTATCCAGAAACCTTCAGGCTCTGGTTCCCCCGGCAGCAGGCTCGTTCCTTTGAGAACATAGCACAGCAAAGTTTTGTTTTGTCCTGCGTAGGTGCTGGAATTGTTTTGTTTTCTTTGAATAAGCATCGTTTTCAATGTAGACAACTGAAACTTAATTTCTGGAGCAGTCCACGAAGATTTCGTAGAACGCAAATCAAAGGTGGATCCCCATGAAAACCGGACTAATTTCATTGAGTGCCCCGTTCATCAAACATTCAATGTTTAGAAATCAAACATTTAGCAATCAAACATTTAACGTTGTCCTCTTTTCCAAAAAAAGCAGCACAAGAAAGTCCTGAAAACAAGTCTTCTGGTGGAAATTGGCATTTTTCCTTACAGGGAAGAGTGTAACTTTGAGAGAACGACTGCTAAAACTTACCTTGACTTTGAGTGAAGAAGGGGAAGCTGCCCTGCACTTCACAAACAGTCTCTAGCATCGGTTTATTCAGCAAATAAGTCGCTGTGGCCAGAGAGTGCTGAGGAAATTCGGTGCCACCGCACTTCCCAGCCCGTAGGAACGTCACCGGCCCGTTTGGTAAAACATTATGTCCCCAAACGGCACCTTCAGCTGAATTTTCCCTAGTCCAGTAACAGCCATGTGGGACGGTATTACACCTCACCTTCCAGTGTCCTCTTTTCTGTCTCTATGTCATTAAGTCCCATTACTGTGCTGGAGAGTTTGTGTCACTTCAGGAGTTGGTTATGAGGATAGTGGCTTTCCAGGAACAGGGGGAGGTCATCAGGGATGCTCTCAAACTGTTCAGGATAGGTCCATCTGGGATCCTTGGCAGTTTGAAGGGAATACTGCTCGCTACCTGAAATGTTACAGCTACTGTCCTAGCTGAGACCGTCACAGAAAGAAGTTTGGATCCAATTCCCCATCCCTCAAGGAGTCCCAGTGCATCTGATCCCCTCCTGGTCCTGGCCCCTTGAAGAAGATGCAGAACAAATCAGCTTCCAACGCAAGGCTACAAAGAATGGAGACGTAAGCAACGTGAAACTGGAGGAGGTATTATTCCTCTGTTCTTCATGACTGTGAAGGCAAACGATCGGGCCTTTCTGGTGACGTGTACCAAAACTCACGGTGGAGTACCGTCAAGAGCTCTCAGATGGGTATTCAGGTTGGTGGCCAAGGTCTGGCTGCAGACCTTGCAGAGGTCTGGCTTTATGCCAGAGCCATGGCGAATAAGGAGCATTCACGGTGAGGCTCCACCACGGTCCTTCACTTAGTCCCTGTCCATGACATGGATGCATTTTTTGGATACTTGGCAGGTCACAGCATATTTGAGGAGAATCTGTGTGGATATCTGGTAGTTTGGAAGCATCAGAGACCACGAGAGCTCAAAGGTGCATCCTACCCTGACCCTCTCAGCTAGATACCTTGTGTATAACAGGAAATAATTCTGTTTTGGGGTGGATGACGTGCTGTGGGCTATGGCTGGTTTTTGGTTGCAGAGTTTGCTGGCCGTGGATGAGTCCCGTTCTGCACGCTGAAAGCCTGTGGCCGAAAATCAAATCTCAAGGTAGTCCACCCGCATCTGCTTGTATGAGGGTGTTTTTGGCCATATCCCACCTGCAGCTTCCAGCTGCGTGTCTGCTGTTGAAGGAAGCAGGACAGAGCCCATGGGCTCACACAGGGCTGTCCACGCCGTCCGGTTGTGTGCATGGATGGACGTGAGCTGAGCTCTGCCACGCCGGCCAGCCCCAGCACCGGAGACCAGTCCCTCGCCTGTTTTATTTCCCAGGGTGGATGTAGCTGACAACTACGGCTGAAGTTGATGCCCGTCTGAAGTCCTAGTAGGTCTTGACTGTTGAAGCTGTAGGGAACGTCCCTGTTCTTGTGCCCGTCCTGTCATGGTACGTGTTGGGAGCAGACAGGTTAAAAGCTCCCATGTGTGATGAACGTGAGCAGATCTATATGAAGTGGCTTTGTGGCAGTAGTGCGTTGCCCATACAGAGATCGTTGCCTGTGTGCTACGTGTAAAACACGCTAGATGAGGACCTACAAGCTTTGCACGTTTTTCAACAGCCCAGGTTTAGAAGAGCAAAGGTAACTGGTGGAAAAGTCATGGTTGTCCGGTCTGCTCTGCTCCTGGCAGAGGCAGGCGCCCATTTCCAGAAGATGCAGCTGCTGGAGGTTGTGATCTGATCCTGCGCACACGAACAGTCAAATGTTGGCGTTTGGCAAGTCCGATGGCTTCATCCTCATTCCTATGGAACAAGCAACTGTTCTTTGTCTCCTTTCCTGGCTCTTGGGTTGCTTCTTGCACGCTTGGAGGAACCTCCAGAGCTTCCTCCAGAAGCTTGGAGGAGCCCCTTTGAGGTTGGGGACAACCTGGGTGACCCATCACCCCTGCAGCGGCTGCGTTCCCCTGCAAAGGGCTTTTAGGAGAACTTGAGGAGCAATGCATGACACACCCTCTCCAGAGAGACTTCAGCCCGGGCTCTGTTTGCCCTTTGTAAGCCACCTGGATTATGTTTGTAACGTTACCGTCCTTGGTAGCATGTTTTAAGCTGACATTAACGATTAGATTTCTCTAATACAGGTCTGTGATTAATATAATGTTTGTACAGGTTTTACAACTCCATCCGATACCTGATCAGCAGGGTATATTTTATGACTGTCATTTTTAAAGACTAATAGGCTGATTAGCCTGGCTAATGTCATCACGTTTGCTCCCCATTCACAGCTGAAAGAACTTGGAGCAACTTTGGGGCATTCTCCTCCGCCCCTTGCACTTAGCACCTCCTGCTAAAGCATCAGCAATTGCAGTTAATTAGCTTGTGAAAGTGTTATATTTCCCTCCTAATGAAAGCTGCTAGGGGGACAGTCAAGATGGAAGGCTGCTGTTCTCCGGACGGTTGCAGGATGGGTAGATAAATCCCGTTAGTACCTCTCGTCGTGGATCTTTGTCATTCTCCTTTTAGGGCTGAAGCAGTAGCACAGTCTAAAGAACCCATTAAGCCCTCCTGGGATGGGAAAAGGCTGGAAAAGAAGAAGCGTGAGGAGCAGAGAGATGATAATGGAGGGGAAGAATCATAGAATCATTTAGGTTGGAAAAGACCCTTAAGATCATCGAGTCCAACCGTTAACCCAGCACTGCCAAGCCCACCACTAAACCACGTCCCTCAGCGCCACGTCTACACGTCTTTTCAATACCTCCAGGGAGGGTGACTCCACCGCTCCCCCGGGCAGCCTGTCCCAATGCCTGACAGCCCTTTCGGTGAAGAAATTTTTCCTCACATCCAACCTAAACCTCCCCTGGCGCAACTCGAGGCCGTTTCCTCTCGTCCTACGTATCAGGACACAGAGTTGAGCTGTGTCCTCTGCTCAGTAGCTCAGGTCTTGCTTGGGAAGGCTCTCTTCCCCCCTCGAGCTGTATTTATCACAGCAGAGGTCCATGCCGTTACCACCACAGCCATTAGGGGAGCCCAGTTCCACTTTTTCCGTAGGCTTAGTTGTCTTCGAACGCTGGGCATGAGTGAAGAAGTGAGTGGAACCCAAGTGACTCTTCCCCGAGACGTGCTTGGTGGGAAGGCAGTCGTCCCAGCATCTCTGCCCAAAATGATGGGGAGGTGCCGGTGCCGTTTTAGTGATGCAAGAGAGGCCTGGGTGTGGAAACAGCATCTCTGCAAACAGCCACGGGTTTCTCGCCCTTCCTGCCCATCAAAACTGGAAAAGTTCTATCAAAATCATCAGCTGGTCTCCAAAATACGTACAATCTGTGAAGCTGCAATGAGGAGCAGTGTACTCCAACATGCAGTGCGTCGCTAACTGGGCTTTGCTAGAAGCAAAAATGGGAAAAATGAGGGTGGTGAAGCACTGGCCCAGGTTGCCCAGAGAGGTGGTGGATGCCCCATCCCTGGAAACATTCCAGGTCAGGTTGGACGGGGCTCTGAGCAACCTGATCTAGTTGAAGATGTCCCTGCCCACGGCAGGGGGGTTGGGCTAGGTGACCTTTAGAGGTCCCTTCCAACCCAAACTATTCTATGATTCTATGAAAAACCAGCAGAGACACCGCTGAACACGAGAACTTTATCACTTGGTTGCTGTAAAGTACGAAGAATGAAAATACTAACACGATCCGTGCAGATCTGACTCTTCAAATTAGAAGTAAAAGTCTCTTATCTCATTACCCTTGCCATAAGCCGCCCGTTTCCTGTAGTTGTTCCGCTTCATTTAAAACGAGTAATTTTCCTCAACGGGGAAATTAATTGTTTTCTGCACCGTTTGGGAGTGGTTTATACGCCCAAGGACGTGCCGTGGTGTTAACAGCGTCCGCTATTGCAAACCAGGGAAAGGCACCGACCTGACGGCTCAGCTTTGGAGTCGAGGGGATGTTTTGGCGTTGCGCTGGGCAAATCGCTTAAATTTTGGTAACTGTTCTTTCCCTTCCTGCAAAACTCAGATAATTGTTATCTGCTCGAACAAAGGTTTTTGGGGGTCAGCTGGTTTATATCAGCCCAGCGCTTTGAATACTAAAGCGCTCAGCGTTGTGTATTACGCACCGCGTACGCATTATGTGGGCGCTGAAATGAGATTAGAGCAGTAATATCTTTAATTAGAGGCGATTGGCTTCACCCTCATGCTGTTTCATAACTTGCAAAAGGTTGTGCGGAAAAGAAACGAGGTTTGTTTTTTTAACTCGGGCTATGACAGGGGTAGGTCGCCCCTTTTTCGCCCGTACCGATGCCAATACTACAGATGCGAGTGGACCCTCATCTAAAATATTAGCAAAGCTAAACTTTGCTGAATTTAGGCTCTGACATGGTCTTTGCTGCGTTAGGACCTGGGCCGCAGGTGTCTCCTTTTCCCCCCAAGATTTTCCCGCTGGATAACAGCGCCTGAGACCTGCTGCTGTTTTCCTGGCGTTCTCTTTGAAATAATACAATTTATATTAAAATGGTACGCGGCTCTACGGAATGCCAACCCCGGCTATGAAGCTTGTATTAATCAACTTGTGGGTGATTTGAGATGACATTTAGGAGACTGTCTATCCCATCAGTTAATTGGATATTTCTAGATTACAGGTGCTAGGAATCCTTTCCTTTCTGTACTTGTTCTTCATTTTACAGGAAAGCAAGGGCAAAATTTACTGTTTTATTAGTACGCTATTATACTACACTAACAATATTAGTTTAATTACCATAGTGCTATATGCACTGTTATATGTGTGTAACAATAAAAACCATCCGCATATGAAAATCTGGCTACCATCTAGGCGGGGGTTTTGGTGTAAAAAAATTACTTTCAGCCCCCAGAACCAAGATCTATCGATTTAAAGAAACCTCTGCACAGATTAGCTGTCTTCAAGGCAATAATCCTCCTTTAACTAATTAATCCTTCTGGAGTCCTTGATGTACAAGAGTTTGGTATTATATAAGGTGCTCTTTTGTTATTAAGGCAGGCTCCCGCTCCTTCAAGAGCTGCTGTGGGATTGTGCACACAATTTCAGAAATATATTGCCCGTCAGCGTGTTGTTTGCAGGGTTGGACTTGCCTTTCGCACCCCGCTGAGGATGGAGTCTTTGCAGAGAAATTTCAGCAATGCATAATTCTCCTCCGTAAGCGGATTAAGACCCGAGTGGGCCTTGGGGAGCCTGGCACGCCGACAGCGGCAGCGCTAAGCTTTTTTTCCTTGGGATCATTCAAGCGCTTCACGCGAGCCAGAAGAGAAAGTAATCAGCTTGCTGGGTGCTGCAGGAAAGACAAACCCGTGGCCATGCTGGGGGGGAAGGGTTTAACTCCTTGGTTTGGGTTTTCTGGCCTGAAAATGTTAACAGAGCTATTGAAATGCCGGGGAGAGGGGTGGTTTGCCTTTGCTCCCAGTTCTCTGAAGGGACTCTCGGTATCAATCTTCACTTGAGGTCTGGATGCCTCTGGAAAGCTGCAGCTCTTTGGGAGCACTGGTGGGTGGTGATAGGACCACGGGTTCAACCATGCTGTCCTTCCTATGACACTGTGTGAGAAGCGCTCACCTTTCGTGCTACCAAATTCCTTTGGCACAGAATTGGGGTAGAAAGTTGGGAATCTGTACTGACTGCTGGGGTAGAACGACTCCCTTGGGTGTTTGGTGTAGATCATTCCCTCTTGGAGCCTGTGCCTAGGAGAGAAGCTAGCTCACACGCGCAGCAGCACATCACCCAAAGCCAGTAGCTGTTGAGTTTGACTGTGCAACATTTCCTAGGTTAAAGATTTAACCAATTCTTTTCTGGTGTCGTGAAAGAAAGAGCGCTCGTCATCGTACGTGATGCCTTCCCACATGCACATCATTTGCTAGCGATGCAGAATATTGCCCAGCTCCACTGAGGCTGTCATGGATAGTGCTGTTCTACAAAGGTGGTCCTCTTCTGCTGTAACAAATAACTTGATGCCAGGTCTCGCGTTCATTTTAGAAGTACCATGTGATCTGGAGAATAAAGACTTGGAGTAAAACTTCAGGGCAATTTCATGAGGAATGGGGGATGACCATGATGCTCTTGAGTTGGGTCCCAAGGTGTGGCTCCTGCCAGAGAGGAGGAGGAGGTGGGTAGCGGTGATGGTGGTGGTGAGGGGCTCAGCTGGACCAAGAGCCCCGCGCTCCAGGTGCTTTGTCTCTGGAAAGGAAAGAGGAGTGATGCTTTCTAGTTCATCTCCAGGCCTTACGTGTTGCTTTGACCGCTGATGCCAGTCCTAGACGATGAAAGAGGTCTTGTCTCCCACATGGGGGCATATTCCAGAGGAAAACATGGCACAAATAGTCTCTTCAGCTGATCCTGATAAACTGGAAGCAGAAGTGGTGGCTAATTCATCACGGCTCAAATCGAAAAAGGACTCTACGTGTGATTTTAGTAATCAAAATAAATGGGAAGGGGGATTTCTAACTCCATGAAGGGCTCTTCGGTAAATCTCCATGTGTCTGCCACAGGCTAGTTGCCTAACCAAAAGTTTGGAGGACATTGATAGGAAAGGAAGACAGTTATTGACAGCAACTCTAATTCATTCTGTGTTCACCTGCGCATCCACGCCCGGTACGCATATATATATAACAAGAAGCATAATCTGATTCTGTGAGACCGTATGTTTGCTATCCCCTGTAGGCTCCTTACTACGGAGAGAAGTGGTACCATCTTTCTTCTTCTTCTCTTACCAAAAGAGCAAGAGGGAGGAGGGGTTAAAGGAGATCCAGAAAGGCAAAATATTAAATACATCTCCCAGTGTTTGTTATTTATAATAGAAAAGAAGGGGAAAATCCAAGGGCTGGATCGAGCTGTCTGTAGATGCGCAGAGATGTTGGTTGGAAGGAACCACCAAGGTCATCTCGCCCCCCTGCCCACTCGGAGCAGGACATTGCCAGCACAGGATCAGGTGAGCCATGACTCTCTCTAAGCCATTCCTGAAGTCCTCCAAGGATGAAGATCCACCACCTCGCCAGGCAACCTGTGCCAATGTTGCATTATCCTCCCGATGAAGAAGTTTATTCATACCACCCCATGTGAGCCTCCCAAGCGGCAGCTTGTGGCCATTGCCCTTATTGAGAAATGTGGAAACTGAGCAAATCCAAGGGCTGGGAATACCGCCATAACTGAATAATAATTAACTAGCAGGCTCCGCCACGCCGTTGTTTAAAATGAAATAGGGTCTTGTATCTCTCCTGTCTTAAATTACAACTCTTAATGTTTTGGAAGTACTGAAAATGTTAATAGGCACTCTTGTTGGTTATTTTAGAGCTGTAAAGGCTTAACATTTGGGAAGAGAGATGGGAGAAGGCCACAGAGGAGCTGCAAAGCAGGAGGAGATGAGCCCATGGGGAACACGGGCAGTGCTCGAGCTAATTCCCTCCGGTGTGGTGTTGCAGTAGAGGTAGATGAGAGTGAGGAGGTCATCGCAGGTAAAAGCTGACTGGGGGGAAATGGTCACTCTAAGGAGAAGAGGAGATCCCAGCTGAGGACGGAGGGAGTTGGCACGTGCACATGGAGAAGCACACCCATGGACACATCCAGCAGATCATCTGCGCCCTTCCACTGCAGGTGGTTTGGCTTTAGGGAGTATTTTGTTCTGTCTCTGACCTCCTTTTCTTCCTCCAGCTGCCTCCTACACAGACAGCTCTGATGATGAGACCTCCCCCCGAGACAAGCAGCAGAAGAACTCCAAAGGCAGCAGTGATTTCTGTGTGAAAAACATAAAGCAGGCAGAATTTGGGCGCCGAGAGATTGAAATTGCGGAACAAGGTAAACGGGGCGCATTCCTCAAGCTCCACGTTGTCCTAGGCTGTCTTGCGGGCTTCTTCCTTCCCCCGAATCCTCTTCTTGTGAGGTTCAGTATACCAGTGATTTCTTGACACCCTTCCTGTTAGAGACGGGAAAACTTTTATGGGGTTTTGTGGGATGGAAAGGAGTTACAGGGTTAAGCCGTGTAGCTCCAACCAACCAACTACTGAAGGACTGCTCTGTAGTCAAATGCATTTTGTTAAAATCAGTAGAAAAGATTAAATCCGTCAAATAAATCAGACAACTTTTGCTTTAGCGTGATTGTCTCCAAAAATCTGTAGCAAAGGCAACGCAGTGTTTAGGTAGCGGGAGGGATATCGGAGAGCAGCGAGTCCCAAGTCCTCCTCAGTCTGAAGCAGGTTTTCCTCCAGCCTCACTTGGGCATTCGCAGGCAGAAATTTGAAAATGTGATGATGCTGCATCCTAAATAGCAGGAGAAGACCTCAGGGGGTTATTGGGTCCTTTTCAGCTGTGCCGTGACTTCTTTGATCCCTGCTCGCCAGGGTTTTACTTTTTTTGAAGCTGCCACAGCTGTACAAATTCATCGGGGTACCAGAGAGCAGGGCGAGAATTGATGCTGGCTGTTTCTTCTGTGCTCATCCCTCTTTCCATCGCATTGATGGACTTCTTTTGTATTTTGCCTTTCAGAAATGCCTGCGCTGATGGCTTTGAGGAAGAGAGCTCAGGGAGAGAAGCCACTGGCTGGGGCCAAGATCGTGGGCTGCACGCACATTACAGCGCAGACAGCTGTAAGACCCCGTCGATAAACTCTAGACAGGGATTTTTCACTGCTTAGCCTCTAAACTAGACCCCGAGCGGTTAATAAAAAAATATGTATACACCCCCACACATAGGTATGCTCCATGTATAATATACTTTGAAATTCTTATTTACTTCATCCATTTTAAATTGTAAAAAAAAGAAGTAATTGCAAAATAGTTTTCTGTGCAACTCCCTAACGACCCTGATGCTGCTTAAAACCAACTTCAGATACCCCCCGGAAGCTTTCCCATAAATAGCAAGTAAAAATCCCGGTTGTATACTGCTCTTTGCGTTGCTCTTTCTGAGGTTTTTTTTTGTTGTTTAAATCCAGGTCCTAATGGAGACTCTTGGTGCGCTGGGTGCACAGTGCCGATGGGCTGCGTGCAACATCTACTCTACTCTTAATGAAGTGGCTGCTGCCCTCGCCGAGAGCGGTAGGGAACTTCACCCTCTTTGCTCTTTCTGGTTTTAAAAAGATTTCTTTCTCTCCCATCATGTTTAGCTCCTTTACCGTCTCTTACAGTTTTTTCCTTCATTCTCCTCAATTTGGAGTAAACCTATAGGAGGTAAACAGCACGAGATCAATCCCTCCCATCGGTCTGAAAATCTTAGAATGATTTTTCTCTGGCGTATAAAAGTACACGGTACGACTGATGATGATGCACATTATTAGGCATCAGGGCTATGTGAACCTGAAAGTTATTTTGCTGAAAGAAACTAAGCTAAATTTTATTTCCGTTCTATACATTCGAGTCATAACTTTGGCTAAAAGGGGTGAAAGGGAGAATTTTTGGGGGACATAATTCACAAAACAGAAGCTGTCCATGTTGCTGCTCACCTGGGAGATGCCTTAATTAAAATCCCGTTTTACCTGGGTAAGGCCAGGGATTTTACCATGAGAGCTGGGAGACCCAGAAGAAGCCAAACCCACCAGCTTGCCTGTTACCTGGTCTTGCTCACTGAAGCTGAATAATAATTGCTCATGAGTCAGAATACGTTCAAGTAAATTTGTGGCTGACGTGCCTAACAGGAAGGTAGGACATTTAACTCGCAGCAAAAGCTTGATTTTGCAAATAAATGTTATCGTTGAGAGCGTGTTGCCCTCTTGTCTGGTGGCTAGAGCTTTTTCTTGGGGGAGAGGAAGAAATTGGGAAGGCTAAAGCTGACTCCTGTCTGCTGCCTTCAGTGTGTGTCTTCAACGTATATCTCTGAAGCTTCTTCTGTAAGGTAGATGTTGAAAAATCAAGACTGCAAGTCTTGATTTGTTGAAATGTTGAAAAAGCAAGACTGCAGTGGTGTCGGGAGCCTGGTTCATCACGCGTGGACGTAGGGAGAGCCGATCCCCAAGGGATTTGCTAAGGCTGTGTTAGCATCCGTCTCCCTCTCTGTGCCAGGGTTCCCCGTCTTCGCCTGGAAGGGAGAATCCGAAGACGACTTCTGGTGGTGCATCGATCGCTGCGTCAACGTCGAAGGATGGCAGCCCAACATGGTGAGACGGGGCCGACTGCGCAAAATGCTCGGCGCGTGTTGAAGCATGGGTAGCTCTCATCTAGAGAGAAGGAAGAGGGTTTAGTGCTGGTCTGTGTTTTCCTCCTGAATTTAGACCTAACTTAGCATTAAGGCTTGGTGCTACCACAGCACTTACCTTCAAAGCGCTTTACAATGAACTGCGCAATGCGGGAAATCAACTTATCTCAGTCTCACAGGTGTGAAGTCAGGGAGAAGGCGGGTTAAATGACTTCCGCATGTGGATCTTCCCTACCAAGCGAGGTTTTGTTTAACTGTTTTCTAAATAAGCATAGCTGCGTTAGTGCAAAGTTTATCGGGTGCTTAGTTTGCTTCCAGAGTAGCTTGCTACAGTTTAAACCATAGAATCATAGAATCATTAAGGTTGGAAAAGACCTCCAAGATCATCGAGTCCAACCGTCAACCCAACACCCCCATGCCCACTAAACCATGTCCCTCAGCGCCTCATCTACACGTCTTTTAAATCCCTCCAGGGATGGTGACTCCACCACTCCCCTGGGCAGCCTGTTCCAATGTTTAACCACTCTTTCAGTAAAGACATTTTTCCTCACGTCCAATCTAAACCTCCCCTGGCGCAACTTGAGGCCGTTTCCTCTCGTCCTTTCGCCAGTTACTTGGGAGAAGAGACCGACCCCCCCCTCGCTACAGCCTCCTTTCAGGTGGTTGTAGAGAGCAATGAGGTCTCCCCTCAGCCTCCTTTTCTCCAGGCTGAACAACCCCAGCTCCCTCAGCCGCTCCTCATCAGACTTGTTCTCCAGACCCCTCACCAGCCTCGTTGCCCTTCTCTGGACACGCTCCAACATCTCAACGTCCTTCTTGTAGTGAGGGGCCCAAAACTGAACACAGTATTCGAGGTGCGGCCTCACCAGGGCCGAGTACAGGGGCACGATCACTTCCCTGCTCCTGCTGGCCACACTAGTTCTGATACAGGCCAGGATGCCGTTGGCCTTCTTGGCCGCCTGGGCACACTGCCGGCTCATGTTCAGCCGGCTGTCGACCAGCACCCCCAGGTCCTTTTCCGCCAGGCAGCTTTCCAGCCACTCTTCCCCAAGCCTGTAGCACTGCATGGGGTTGTTGTGGCCGAAGTGCAGGACCAAACTCATTTAATGTCGCCGGTAAAAAATGACTCAAAATCAGCATGTTCTGAAAAGGGGTTGCATCCATTTTACCATATTCAATTAAATTCACAGCTTTGGTTGGTGTGATTTTTCTTATCTAGGCGAGGCTTCTGTTTGAGAACAAAAATTAGATTTTTAGGTGATGTCCTTACTGTACGAACACAAAACCTCAGGTAGCCCAACTCCGTACTTTGCTGGTTTATTCTGCCCTTGTTTCTAGGGAAAACAGAGAATCCTGAACTAGGCGAGCGGAATAATTTACAGCTGTCAAATGTGCTGTTTTCATCATGCTTCCCGACAGATTTTGAGCCCTGGAGCTTATGATCTAAATTAGACAAAAAGTAATCAAAGGTGGAAGGTAGGCGTGTATCTGTATTGTTTGTTTGCCAATATCAGCTTGTTTGAGGTGGGTTCTTTGTCCCTTCCAGTCTACACCTGCTCACTTCCTCACTGTCACCTTTAAAAAGAACTGTGAATCTCAAAAAATCCACCCCCAAGCTACGAATCTGAGCCCAGACACGACAGCAGCTTTTTTCTTCTTCTTGAGGAATAATTTCCCATCGAAAATGCCAGTAATTGAAGAAATCAACAGACCAGAATATGCATATTATGCTTTCCCAGGATCTCTTCAGATCCCTTGGTTCTGCCACGTGTTTCTATCTATCAGGGTCTTTTCAGACCTGCTTCTGGAGCACAGAACTAATTGCTGGGGAGCACCAATTGCCTTGGATCCAGCAGTTCCCAAAGATTTGCACGCCTGATTTTGGAGGTCCACGTTTTTAGAGACAAGAAATAGGACGCTGGACATCGAGCGAAGAACAGGTGTGGAGAGGATCTTCTTCATATGATTATTTCAGAAGAGAGGAGCTGGCAAACTTGGCCAAAGCAGCAAGGTGAAATTTGCCTCTCCGGTCCATCCAGTCTCAAGGCTGAAGCGAGAAGATGGACCTACTCTCCTCCCTGTGCTGATGGCAACTTCTTAGAGCACGCGGCATGTTTTTTCTCTCCTGTTGAGACAGAATTTCCCCCGATATCCTGAATCAAGGAGATACATCCCCAGGTTGTAGGACTGAGCCTGAGCTGCTGCTCCTGGCAGCCCACGACCTTTGTATAAACCTAAATCTAACCTCTTTTCATGCAGTTGTAGAATAGTTTGGGTCGGAAGGAGCCTCTAAAGTTCATCTAGCCCAACCCCCCTGCCGTGGGCAGGGACATCTTCAACTAGAGCAGGTTGCTCAGAGCCCCGTCCAACCTGACCTGGAATGTTTCCAGGGACGGGGCATCCACCACCTCTCTGGGCAACCTGGGCCAGTGTCTCACCACCCTCACAGTAAAGAATTGTCTCTTGTCTTGTCTTCTCTTCCCATCAACAAAATACCAACGATACTTTTCAGCGTCGTCGGTGATTATTAGTGGCCGTGCAGTGCTTTGAAGATGTTCTGTGCCAGCGCTCCGTGCCACGGTGTGATCGGATGGGAAATTCTCTCTCTGTGAAAAGTGCTTTAGTAACATGCCTATCTCTGTCCAGCACGAAATAATCAGGTTGGACTCTTCTAAGTGTGGTGTAATTCAGAGCATAAATATCCAACTTGTACTTGTTGATCCATCCAACTTGTACTTGTTGATCCAAGATGAAAGTAGCATGGAAATGCATCTGCATTTCCAGGCTTCTACATCTTTAAGCTCAATAAAGAGAAGTGCAATCTCTACTTCTACTTAAGAGAAAGCAAAATGGGTCAAAGTAGTTCAGCAGCTTGCTGTAAGCCGCGCTGACGTAATATCGGGGCTTGAAGTACGCCTCAGGAGCCCTGTTTAGCATTGCTGCGCTGGCCCCCACCAGTCCCGTGTCCAGGTAGGCACTGCAAGGTGTGATGGAGCTGACCTTGTACATCCCATAAAAATAAAGAGGGACGTCTCGCAGTCCAAAAATCTGAATATTCAATGTTAGGACTTCTGTGTGGCGCTACTCCACGGGAACAGTTAGCCACAAATCATAGAATCATAGAATCATTAAGGTTGGAAGAGACCTCCAAGATCATCGAGTCCAACCATCAACCCAACACCCCCATGCCCACTAAACCATGTCCCTCAGCGCCTCATCTACCCGTCTTTTGAATACCTCCAGGGATGGTGACTCCACCACTCCCCTGGGATCTTTAAGCTCAATAAAGAGAAGTGCAATCTCTACTTCTACTTAAGAGAAAGCAAAATGGGTCAAAGTAGTTCAGCAGCTTGCTGTAAGCCGCGCTGACGTAATATCAGGGCTTGAAGTACGCCTCAGGAGCCCTGTTTAGCATTGCTGCGCTGGCCCCCACCAGTCCCGTGTCCAGGAAGGCACTGCAAGGTGTGATGGAGCTGACCTTGTACATCCCATAAAAATAAAGAGGGACGTCTCGCAGTCCAAAAATCTGAATATTCAATGTTAGGACTTCTGTGTGGCGCTACTCCACGGGAACAGTTAGCCACAAATACTGAGAGTGTCCAAAAAAAAGACACCTTGGGTTTTCTGGTGGGAATAGCAGACCTTCAGAGGAGTGCTCTGTCTGGACAGGAATGGCTCAGAGGTTTTTTTTCTGAAAAATGCTGAATCTGCAGCGCTGAGAGGACCACGCTGCCGCCAGGGCATTTCGATGCTGCCTCCGACCATGCGTTCCTGCCATCTCCTTGGGTTTCCACCAGTCACTTTCTGCAGTGTGTTATTTTCAACCATGTTGCTGAGCTAATCCTAGCTAATTTTAATCAGCTTGGTTTTGGCAAGATCAACCGCATGGTGTCGGCTGTTGCCCCAACAGATTTGGACGGGGGACAGGGTGAGACGTTCGGTGGCAGCGGGATCTTAGATGGGTTTAAAAGAGGTGGTAAAATGGCACCCCGAGACACCAGTTCTTTCATGGAAGAGCCAGAGATTTTTCTGCTGGAGGAGACATGAAATGGAAAGACTGAGGGAGTGAGAAGTCACAGCCCTTCTGCGCAGACAGCAACGTGAAATCGGTTACTTGGAGAGAAAAGCACTGCGAGAGAAACACCTACCAACGGGAAACGGATACACCGAATCAGCCAAAAATCATAAAAATTCAGGGTGGGTACTGCTGTGGAGGAGCAGGACGAGATGTCTCCCGGTGCTTGGGTAAGAGGATGGTCCCATCTCCAAAGAGAGAAATGTCCCTGCAGGCGCAGGGTGATAGAAGATGGTTTTTACAGGCGCGATGACTCCAGCAGGCTCTGCTCCGAGGTGAAAGTGCCAAAATCAAGAGGGAGGATGAGGCAGCCGGCAGCGCTGGTTTGCGGATCGTGCCTCTCGGCGGGCATCAGGCAGCAGCACCGAGGGGCAGAGCAAGGCTCACAGCTCTTAACGGCTGATTTTCTGTACGAAAAATTCTTTGCATGTCAAATAAAGGCTTTTTTCCCCTGAAAAAAACCTGCCTGGGAAGAATTCGAATGAAGGCAGATAACTTGTGTAAAGCTGAGAAAACTGCAGGAATACGGGGCACATACCACGGGCTTTGCCGTTGGCTGTTTGGGGCTGCTACACAAAGGTGACCTTCTATCAAAAACTAGTTCCTCCATTGATTTCATTTGTTTTTTTTTCATCTCCTGCCCTCCTAGGAAAGAGGAAACTACCAACCCCCAGAATTCTCTCTTAGAAAGAGGATTATGTGCCCTATTAAATGGGGATTAATGAAATGAAGACGTCCTGGGAGCCAGGCTGCTGAATTCCTACCTCGGCTGGCCCAGGAGAGCTTCTCAGCCCGCTTAACCCTTACCTGCCTCTGCTTCCCAGCCTGTGAACGGGATCTGGGGGTTCCCTGGAGACTCAAGAGAGTCGGGTCTGTGTGGAAGAGGAAAATCATGCAATTTAGAGAGAAAAAGTTTGTGATAGTACGTAGCATTTCCAAGGAGCTCTTTGCCCACGGGTGTCAGAGTGGTGGCTCCGTGCAGCCACCGCGTCGTGTCGTGACAAAGCTCAGGAACGTCGTCTTTGTGCCCGCAATGGAGCTTCTGCCGCAGGAGCGTGGTGGGAGTGTTAATTTTTTCCTGGGTGGCTGCAGATGCTGGTGGGAGAGCTGCAGACACTGTGACGGAGGGTCCCTGCCGGGCTCTGCCGCCGGCCAACGAGCAGAGATGCTTCTGCCCCGGTGTGACACTTGCATTTTAGGACACCTGCACGCCACACCAGTGGGTTAATAAGGGCTGGCTTGGCAGTCAGAAGTCTTGAACGTTGGGGTAGGGAACATGCGAAGAGGAGGAGGAGGATAATAATAATAATATGGGGCAATGTGCTGTCAGCCAGCCCGGCTAGCACAGGTCCTTGGCACTTCACCTGCCACGCGGTGAAATCTCCTTGTTTTTTCTTGAGTCTGAGTCTAATGGGCGTTGTCACGCTTCCCACCTTGCCTGGACACTGCTTGGGCCACCTGGGGCCACCAGGGTGGCAGGAGGACTCGGGAAATGCACGTGTTTGGGGTTTTTTTTTCTTGTATCTTTTCTTCTTTCCCAGACACCTCTTTATGGCACCCCAGTGGGTCCCTCTTCGAAGCGTTTAGAGCTCAGCACCCTCCTTGGGTTTGGCTGTCTGTTGAGATGTAGCAGGGGATGACCCAAAGTGGTTGGGACTGGGGCCACGCTCATTACGAGGAAAGTGTGTAGGGGACAAACAACGAGTCTCTTAATAAACTCCACTGGCTATCACTAGCAGTGAGATATTCTGTAATTATCAGAGGTTCTGTACTTACGGAGGTAAAAAACAAGCTTGGCTTAAAGTCTTTGATTATTCTGGCGACACTATAGCACGTCACAAAAATACCTGAATAACATCAACCCATGCAAAGGCGTATCTGGATGTACGTGTTAGACTTTTAGCAGCGTTACGACTTTCATGTCCAAAGCCATTACCAGGTATTTCCATATGCTGGATGATTGTAACACCAGCAGAGAATAGATAAGCTCTTAGACATCTCTTTTCACTGCAATTGTTAGATTTCTGTGACCACGTTGTTTTCATGTCTGTCCTTTCCGAAGCACTTTCTCAAAGGGCACCTTTACTTACTCATCTTTAATGTTTTTATTAAAGCAGTAAGTCTCTGGTTTTCTCTACCGCCCTGAAATGTGTCATTAGGAGGAAATGGGTGGCTCGGGAGACTCGTGATCTGATAAAGAAGAGTTTTGTACTTCTGAGTTGAGGTTCAAAGCCAGATGAAATGGGCAGAGACCCAAAGTTGTTGTCTAAAAGAGGTTCAGTATTTTTAATACACAGTGTTTTATGATGCAGTTGCATTATAATTGTCATTAGTGGCTCTGCACCCTCCTCCTCCTCCGTCCTCCATCCTCCTCCTCCTTCGTCCTCCATCCTCCTCCTCCTTCGTCCTCCATCCTCCTCCTCCTTCGTCCTCCATCCTCCTCTGTCCTCCATCCTCCTCCTCCTTCGTCCTCCATCCTCCCATCCTCCTCCGTCGTCCTCCTCCTCTGTCCTCCTCCTCCCTCCTCCATTAGCAGTCATATTAGGAAAGCTGATGACTGCCTACGGTTCAAAGGCTTTTCCATCTGTGCTTCTTGGAGATGGGGAGAGAGGAGCTTCCACAGCAACTTTCCATGTTTCCCCTGGTCTCATTATAAACGTCAAGGTCTGTCGTGTTTGTCTGACCTATTGCCGTTCCAGCACAACATCAGTGCTCTGCATAGTCAAGCAGAGTAGTCTCACCTAAGCTGTCACGATGTGGTACTTGAGATGCCAAAACATGGGCTTGATTAGGAATTATTTGAGCCTGTGTTTTATCCCTTGTACCTTTTTGGGGTCGGCAGGCCTTACCGGATCTTCAGAGCGGTGACTCTGTGGTTATTTTTGTTACAGATCTTGGATGACGGAGGAGATCTCACTCACTGGATTTACAAGAAGTACCCCAACATGTTTAAGAAGATCAAGGGGATAGTAGAGGAGAGCGTGACTGGTGTCCACAGGTAACGGGACAGGCTGGACTGCGAGCACGGAGACGTTTGGACAAAAGCATCTTCTGCCTCAGGGCACTGGTAGTGAAAGATCCCCAAGCTGTAAGATGCCACAGTCTCAGCTGAACGTTGAGCCCCCTAATACGTGGTCTGTGGTTCTCCTTCAGCATGGGCTTGGCTTTCCCGTAAGAACTGTTTTAAACCTCCTGTATAGTGAAAGCAATAGACTTGGAACTACGGCTCTGAATTTCAGACGAGGAGTAGAAGCACCTACTGACCATGGCGCGGCTGGAGGAAGTGCACAAGGTCTTGTTTTTCCAGCTGGGAAATAGGGGCAATGGTTGTCTCGCCTCGTTTTGCAGGGGAAAAAAGGAAGGGATGAGGGTGTTGCACAAGAAGGGGTGGGCTTTGGAGAAAGTCAAAAGCGTGGTCCTAAACTGAATTACGGGAAGAAGTGAGATTTGGGAAGAGGAAATGAATCTCTAGTTGGGGTGGGAGTCCAGAAAGGGAGAACCACAGAGGTGCAGCCGTGTGACTGAGTGACATCCATCAGTCTGCAGCAGAAGCAGAGTTGTGACGGGAGAGGTGGCTGCCAGGGTTAGGAGAGGTATCAGAGGTGCTTTTCCAGTGGCGTTAATCGTATCACGGGTGACAGAACGTAGGGGACTGAGGAGAAGAGCGGCAGACTCTGCTTTTTTCTGTATTTTTGGAGGGAGAAAGGCCTGGCTGCAGCTCTTGGAGCTGGCTGAGGGTTTGGCCGGAGGTGCAGGCAGCCCTCGAAACAGGGAAACGAAATAGTTGAAACAAGGAAGCGACCGATGCAGGTTTGCAGCCAGCGGGGTCAAGGAAGGGACCTGATAATATTTTTAGCATCAGGAATCGTTCCCCGTTTGGGCAGAAGAGATGTGCAAAACCAAAGCAATGTTAAAAATTGTGCCCCGCGGTCTCGTGCCAGGGGCGAGGTTGTTTTCTGAGGTTGGTGGTGTCGATGCATGCGTGCAGGGAACGCGTGCCCCTTACCTCCAGGGGACAGACAACGTGGGGACTGAGGCTCTCCCGATGACCAAGTGAGACGGGGGAGAAACCTGGAGGTGGTCTGCAGAGACTGACTGAGGGAGGGGGTTCTCCTTCCCCGCCAGGGGAAGGACTTTTTTCATGTTGATAACTTGGTATGGCTTAAAGTTTAAACATCTCCATTTCCCTGGAGCAGGGAAATGATTTTCAGATTCTCGTCGTAGCCGTAGTGTAGCGTTTAGATTCATTTTTCGTGCTTTTGCTGCGGCCAGTTCAGTCTGCTCTCAGAAGCAGGAGGTCAGGTTGGTGTCTTCCCCACCCTGGTTGCTTCTTGTACTACATCTCGGCGATTACACTCCCACTGCTGTTCAAATGGGTGTTTTGTTGCGGGTGTTGATCGCAGCAGCTTCACGTTGCTGTGAACGTTACCCTTCCGTGGCCGTTTCTGTTTGTCTCGAGCTGTAAGAGCTTGAGGAATTACAGGAGCTCTCACGTTATCTGAAGCAGGACTTGGGGGTTTTGTCCTTTTGAGGACACCAGAGATGGTGGTAATACCAACAGTTATGAGGCACATGGAGTCTAGAGCACCTTCTGATCCCCGCTATTTGACGTTTCTATGAAATGCCTCTTGCCAACGTGGTAGTTCTTCAGCAGGGGAGGGAAACGGGTACAAACGTCTGTGGCAGGAAGAGTGCTATTTCTCCTCCTGAAATGAGGAGCCTCCTATTAAGAGGTTATCTTTGACCCTCCAGACGGGTACTGCTTACTCCAGCGAAACAAGACCTCGAGAGCACACAACAGTAGAGTGCAGGGAAATATTTTTCCATTGATCATCTGTTCCTTCCCGTATTCGTAACAGGCTGTACCAGTTGTCCAAAGCGGGGAAGCTCTGCGTCCCAGCCATGAATGTCAACGACTCGGTCACAAAGCAGAAGTTTGACAACCTGTACTGCTGCAGAGAGTCCATCCTGGACGGGTAGGTACATGTCCACCCAAACGGGGCCGTGTCCCTTGCTCGGGTTGTGTTGACCCCACAGGGAACTGGGGTCCATGGATCTGTCTACCTGCCACTTTAGATCATTTTAGATCAGTTGAGGTGTCAGAGGAGAACAAAGACCCTTTATTACCTCTGGTCCATCCTGTTTGTATGGGAATCTGCAAGGCATTTTGAGACGGCAGCTGTGTCTCTGTGGGTCAGAAGGTCCTAAGACTTACTTGTACAATTGTACGTAAAGCTCTACGAACATAGGCACGCCAGAAAACAAATGTTGAATTTTGTGTTTGTAGGATAATGATCTTGCAGCGAAGACGTTAGCGCCCCTAGAAGTCTGGATTCAGTATTTTTAACCCAGCTACACGTATGAATGGGGCACATCACTTAAATTTTGCCTCTGCTCCTCTTTTTGTGGAAAGCACGTCTTCTCTTTTCCCAGAGTGTCTGGAAGACACATCAAATATTTTATCAGCCGCAGTGATATAAGACACTTCCCAGTGCCCTTCAAGGGCGCTCACCGAGTCTTTGTGCGCTCAGGGCGGTGTGGGTGACTCGCATGCGTTTTCCCTTCTCGGTGAGTGTGACTGGACCTGTGTTCAAGCCCTGCAGCTTCTCGTACTCCTGTGTGAGGACTTCTGAAGTCCTCACGTATGGCTACAATGCTCCTTCCCGTCCCTCTTACCTTTGTGGCATCAGGATAAAACCCATCCGTGTCTGTTGCGTGTGTATGAGTCAACCAGCTGCTTCATCGCAACACTTTTTGCCTTTCTAGTTTCCTTTTTTTATCCTCTCCTGTGAATACACAATAAGCCGAAAGAAAGAAAATAGAAGAGGTTGTGGTAGACCAAGACTTCATCCTGTAACAGTTGCGTGTCCAAGGTGTAGACCAGAGCCTAGACCCTGTCCTTCAGCTGAGCATAAATAAATAGGTGCAGAAGGTGGGAATGACGGGGCTGGTGAATGCTTTATCCACCTCTCCCCGCCCCGGTCCTGCAGGATTTACAGCCACACGCCACACAAGCAGGCAGAAGAGTGTTTGCTTCCCTCTGTGCTGCCTCCCCCCAAAAATCCCAGCAGGCAGACCGTGGGACTGGGAGCAGCTCTGCAGCATCCTGATGGTGCTGTACTTTTTAGGATCGGATGGGAATCAGTCGCTGACGGATACGTGGGCACCGGGAACATGATGTATCTTCTGAGATTGTTGGTCTTGAGATGCAGCGCAAAATACTTGAAGTTGTGATCTAGAGAGAGTGTAAATCTCAGTGATCTTTTTTTTTTCCTCTCTCCCTCTCTTTTTTTTCCTTATTTTGATGGAATTGGGTGTCCGTGTCCCCACCACCTCCACCACCAAATTTTGTCAAAGCCAAGGGAGATTAGGACAAGTTTTATTCCTACAGTTCAGGCTATGACATATTGCATCTGGTAGTGGTCCCAGTAGACAAGTAAGCACAGAAGCAAGGACAAATTTGACTTTCCGGACTGGCGTTGATGCTGATGAGATGAAAGCCAGAGGAACGATTGCCTGCTCTGTGCCAGGTAGCTGTGGTGCGGAGGAGGAACCCTCCATGGAGAAGACAGCCTGCTTCAAGAGAAAAGACTTTTTTCATGTTGATAACTTGGTATGGCTGAAAGTTTAAACAAGCCTCGAGATCTGCAGTTCTCGGTTCCTTGCCGACGTAGAAACGTCGCCTTCTGTTTAATCGAAGTCCATCTGGCGGTGTATCGGTGTTCTGCTGTGCTACCGCTGCCTTCAATCCGGTAGCTCCAGAGGTTCTCAGAGACCCACCGTAGGCTTCCCTGTTGATGCCGGACCCTGCTCTAATATCTCTCTCCCAAATCTTTGTGGGGATATGTGGTCGAGTGCCTCACTCGTCACCTCGGCTTTGAAGTGGTCTTCCTGGTAGTGGTCCTCTTGACCAGGAGAAGTGAAGAAGACTCGTGTTTGTAAACCTGTGTGTCCAAATACGGGGGCACGAAGATGATCTTTAGCCATACGAGTTAGTGAACCACCAAATGTGCTTCCCTGGGCCGTCTGCTGCACATGCAGTTTCTTCCCCACGTTTCTATCACACGTTGTTCTAAAAGACTAAATTTTGGGCTCCTTGTCAAGTCAGCGGTGATGGTATCTGGCTCTTCCATGCCAAGACGTTTTATTACAGAACCTGACGCTGCAAACAGCCACGGGTTTCTCGCCCTTCCTGCCCATCAAAACTGGAAAAGTTCTATCAAAATCATCAGCTGGTCTCCAAAATACGTACAATCTGTGAAGCTGCAATGAGGAGCGGCGTACTCCAACATGCAGTGCGTCGCTAACTCGGCTTTGCTAGAAGCAAAAATGGGAAAAATGAGGGTGGTGAAGCACTGGCCCAGGTCGCCCAGAGAGGTGGTGGATGCCCCGTCCCTGGAAACATTCCAGGTCAGGCTGGACGGGGCTCTGAGCAACCTGCTCTAGTTGAGGATGTCCCTGCCCACGGCAGGGGGGTTGGACTAGATGACCTTTAGAGGTCCCTTCCCACCCAAACCGTTCTGTGATTCTATGAAAACATCTCGATGAAGTAATTCTTCCAATTAGGTAGCCCTGCCTCCTCTATGACGGCCATGCCTCTGCTCTGTGGTCGCAGGGTTCAAGACACGGAAGGCAGCCTCTGGCGTGGGGGTCGGCTGCCCGGTGAAGAGTTGCCCCCAGATTTGGAGTGTCCGAGGACACAACTTTTAGCTCCATGTTCCATGTGCAGCAGATGCTGTCAGTGGCTAAGAAACATTAAAATCTTTAAAATCTTCTTGTTGTCTTCAGTTGTGGTGGATGATGGACCTCATGGGTAGGTAAGTTGGGATTTGAGTTAAGTCTGGCCCAGGCATCTAAAACTGGGCCAAGGGAAATCTGAGCAGAGGTGCAATTAAATCTGCTGTGGTTTTTATCTAAATTCTTTCGGAAATGTAAGGGAATTTCACCTTCCCTGCACTGCTAACCTATTTACTCGTGTGCTAAAAATAGCCTGTAATGTAGGACACTCTTAGGGAGAAACCAGAAGGAAACCGAGTGGAAAGAAGAGCTTTATCTGTGGAAAGCACTGGGATTCTGGCAATAAATTACCACTTTCCTGCTTCTTCTGTAGTTATTTCTGTGGGGTATTTTGACTTTAAAAAAAAAAATAATTAGGAGAAAGTATTTTTTTAAAAGATTTTAAATATTTCTGGGGTACCAAAACAAAGGGATCCAACAAAAAAAAAGAACCAAACCCAAAACCAAAAAAGGGATCCAAACCCCAAATCCTTCCTCTTCGTTGCGTTTCACTGGTAGCACCCACCCTTACCAAAGGAAAAAGTCAGTTTTTAGGTGCCTTTCGGGTCCTCTCTGCACCCAGAATTGCTGTGTGTCCTCAGGGATACAGGATACAACCATCGTGTTTAGGAGGAGCAAACTGAGAAGGACCTTCACAGCATCGTCAGTGGAATATCATAGAATCACAGAATGGTTTGGGTTGGAAGGGACCTTGAAGATCATCTAGTTGTGACCCCCCTGCCGTGGGCAGGGACACCTTCCACTAGACCAGGTTGCTCAAAGCCACCTCCAACCTGACCTTGAACACTTCCAGGGACGGGGCATCCACAACTTCTCTGGGCAACCTGTCCCAGTGCCTCACCACCCTCACAGTGAAGAATTTCTTCCTTATATCTAATCTAAATCTACCCTCTTTCAGTTTAAAGCCGTTACCCCTTGTCCCATCACTACGTGCCCTTGTAAAAAGCCCCTCGCCAGCTTTCTTGAAGGCCCTTCAAGTACTGGAAGGCCGCTATAAGGTCTCCCCAGAGCCTTCCCTTCTCCAGGCTGAACAACCCCAACTCTCAGCCTGTAAGAATAGATCTTACTGCTGTTCTTTAATTGTTTTTTTTTTCTTTTTCCTTAGCCTTAAAAGGACAACAGACATGATGTTTGGAGGCAAGCAAGTAGTGGTTTGTGGCTACGGGGAGGTAAGGGGTTAATATTTTACATACGGGTACTGCCTGTAAAATCGCAGGTCCTTTGCACGGCTTTATCCGACGGGGGTTTTCCGTCCTCGGGGCTTTTCTCTGCATCTGCAGGTATCTTCAAACCTGACGGGTTTGCCAAAACTGAAGATTTTCTTGATGTCCAGTGTATTTCTTTAGTATTAAACAGATACCAAACCTGAGTCTTAAGAGACATGAGTATTCAAGTAGTCTGAATATCTTTAATATCTGAATATATTAATATTATCTTTTATATTTATATTATATTCTATTTAATATAATACTAAAATATTCGGAGGCTGGGTTCTGCAGATGACTCTGCAGCCGCAGCATTGCATGCTGAAGGGTGGTCAAGAAAGATAAGTTAATCTTGACTTACCCCCGTGCTTTCACCCCCAAACAGAGGAGTCCTCTCTCGAGGCGCGACTGGGATATTCACCCTTCGGCAGTTCTTGTCGGGACCAGTTAACACCAGTTATGCTGGGCTCGGCTGTGGGTGCTGTGCTGGGACTTTCTTTTTTTTTTCTCCAAAGAGCTGAAATGGGACAATTTTCTCACGTGTAATTGCATTTTTTGGGAGCCCTTGGTCATTTAACTGTTCCCCTGAATTCCCCTGCGAGCTGCACCGTATGTGCTGGGTACAGGTTAAAGCTCATTAACCCTCAGAGACTAAACCGTTAAGCTTCCTAAATAGAGTAAAGGTTATGAGAGACACTTAAACTTTCCCTGGGAGAAGTGTAATCTCTCGTTATCGTGGTGCTTGCTAGATACCAGGATGTTCTGGGGGACAAAGAACTCCCTGGGACCAAAATCAACGGCACTTTTATATTTTTTAGCGCCTCTCTTAGCTAAACTGGGCCCGACTCAGGTCCTAGATTACTCCAAATCCAGGTTCGTGCACCCAAAAACGGCGTATATGCAACCAGAGCTGCTAAGAGGGTTGCAAAGGGCTCTTGGGGCCGCGGGAGAGACGCCCGGAGTTGCACATCCCCTGTGAGCTTCCCGCGGCCGTATTGATGCTCGGCATCTCCCGGGCTCTCGGCATCTCACTCTTCCTCTGTGCTCTTCTCCCTCCCCAGGTTGGAAAGGGCTGCTGTGCTGCTTTGAAGGCCATGGGCTCCATAGTGTACGTGACAGAGATCGATCCGATCTGTGCCCTCCAGGCCTGGTAAGCAGTCGCACCGAGCCCGGCTTCTTCTTTAGGCTTTTTTTTTCCCAGGAAAACCGTGGCCAGAAACCACTTGGCAGTGGTCCCTCCCGAGAGGGATGCTTGTGAGGGGGTCGTGGTTTCTCTGCACCCTCGGAGGGACCCACAGCTCTCTCCTACGGCCAGATAAGGGTTCCTGTGCTAAAGCATCACCCAGTTTATCTGTAGCCCGCGTGCCAGCTTGCATAATCATAACCACAGTGGCCAAGTGTTTAACGATATGGCTTGAAAGGATGTTGGGAGTGAACCGCGACCTTTGGAGTGCAAACTCGGGCTTCGCTGTGCTGTGCACGCACCTCGCCCGGGGGGATATTTTGGTCTCTGTGATCACCCGCCCCTCACAAACCTCTCCTCGCTAACGCCGGTACCCTGACGCAGGGCTGAAAGCGCACGGCTGTCCCCTCGCACAGGCACGTTGCAATTATACCCGACCTCGTTTCCTCCAGGTAAAAGTTGTTTTGGCGCAGAGATGCTGCTTCGGCATCCCGAGGTGCGAGACGGGACATGACTATGAAAGCGGAGTCCCAAAAACACCCGGAGCCTTATTAAACCCGCAGCCTCTTCCTAACAGCAAGCTTTCAAAGGGCTATCGCGGTGAGAAAGCTAATGAGCCCTGCTTAATTAGCAGAGCTGGTCAACTTTCAGTTTGCTTTGCGACCTTCACAAGTGGCACATCCAGCACCCGCATCCTTAATTGTGTGAATTTGGTCGTCTGCAGCCAGCCCTTCCCTGACCCTGCACAACGCAACACCGTGCGGCCCCTCTCGTAAGGAGTTTGCAGTGGGGGAAAAAAAAACCCAGTAAATGGGACATACAGCAGAAAAAAATTACTTTTTTTTAATAGTAACTACGATTTTGCAGCTTGTGAGAGTCACAGAAATAAGTTCTCGGGAGGACTGTCAACAAATCCTAAAAAAAAGTCCTGGCCTTGTTATCCGATGCGCTGAATACACCTTGCTCGGTGAAGTCAGGAAAGACTTGCTGAGTGCTCGGCGCTTCTAAAGATCGTGTAGGTGCCTAAATATGGATTGCAAGGTTAATGATAGATGTCTGTGGGTTTGGGGTGTTTGGGGTTTTTTTTAAGATGATCTAAATCCATATCAGAGAGGATTCTGCAGCAGGAGGGCGTATCTGCCTCTTCTGGGTGTACTTTGCAGGAGTAGCAGCTTTAAAAAAGCCGTCTTGATTGAAAATTGAGATTTGCAGATGCGGAGGCCTTGACAGAAAATGTGAAACCCCCAAAATCTCTTTTCACTTCTCCCCACGACAGTCCCAGATCCTCCAGGTTGACTCCAGAAACCCTCCTAATGGCTTGGGGTACGTGGCCCTTCGCATGCTGCCTTGCTGTTTTCCGGTCTGGCGTTAGGAAGTTAAAATGAGTATCTTGAGAATCGCTTGATGGGGTTTTTTTCTATTTTTGGCATGTTTTTGCTGCTTCTCAGACTACTTTCCCCCCCCCTCTCCTCTTAGCATGGATGGATTCCGGCTCGTGAAACTCAATGAAGTCATCAGACAAGTTGACATCGTCATCACCTGCACAGGTACGCAGTTCCCGAGGCAGGAGGACGGGTCGTTAGGGATGCGCACCCCGTAATCGGGTCCATCTTTTTCCAAAGGAAAAGGCAAAAAGGTGGGGGGGAGCGAACATGGGTATTTATTACGGATGTCGCTGTCTGGCAGGCAACAAGAACGTGGTGACCAGGGAACACCTGGATCGGATGAAGAACAGCTGCATCGTCTGCAACATGGGGCACTCCAACACCGAGATCGACGTGGTGAGCGGAGGGACGTGGGTCGGGAGCAGGGACGGCACAGGGTGGGGTGACGGTGCTTTCGGGACCCTTCGGCAGCCGTGTCTGACCCGTGCCGCTTTAGCAAGCACCGGGGAGGAGATAAAATAATCCCATCGCTCCCCGTGTCTCAGCAGACACTGTCAGATATGTCGTCGTCATTCCTGCGATCCCAAAGGATGCCAGCGAGCCAGACAAATTGCTCCAGCTTCCAGCGGAGTGTCTGGTATCCACCAGCCTCACTCCTTCCCCTAGAGAGTCGGTGAATCACCCTCTCCAGCCCAGTCCCTCTGCTTCTGTGTTATTACACCGTTAAGACCCAGCCAAGAGTTCAGCTTGGTGCAACACGGCACGCGCAGCCCCACCGCGCTTTACCGAACGGCACTGAAATCTGCTCGGCTGTGCTTAGAGATGAGTAGAAAAACAGGAGAGTCTTGTCTGAAGGTCAGTGGAGAATTGCTCGGCCAAACCCATGGGTTTAAAGCCATTTTCTCTGCTGGAAAGAAGTGGCCGCAGCCGTGCACAGTTTAGTTGGTGACCATGGATCCTCTTCAGCCAGAAGAGCTTGAACAATAGTTGTTGCTGGAGCTTTGATGTATTGTAATCATAAAAATAGTCCCAGGTTGTGATTCATAAAGGTTTCATTGGTCTGGGACTGAGACCAGACCCAAAGGAAACTATAAGCCCAGGACAATGTCAGCGAGTCGCTTCCTCTTTTCATTCCTATCATGCCGCTTCTGGGTTTTGATCTTTTGGCAGCGCTTGAACTATTTTAACACTGTGTTTCAGGCAAGCCTGCGTACGCCCGAGCTGACCTGGGAGAGGGTGAGGTCCCAGGTGGACCACGTCATCTGGCCGGACGGGAAGAGAATAGTCCTTCTGGCGGAGGTGAGTTGCAGGCAAAGGAGCGGGAATTGCAACCTCTTCTCTGCTTGCGGGGGAAGAAAACAAGGGCTGGGTGAGCGGTGGAGCCGAAGCGCGTCCAGAAATCACCTCCTGGGGCCTCAGCAGCTCAATAATCCCTCTGGTTGCAAGGCTTGGTGTAAGCCTGTTTTGGCCCATGAGTTACTGGAACGCGGGGAAAAAAAGCTCCTGTGTTTTTCTTTATCCCGCTCCAGGGTATTTTATCAGATTTTCACTTCTAAATAGTTTTACTGAGTTACAAGGGCAGCCAATACCTTGGGACTCAAGTGCATGTGATAAATGGTGTTTCATCCCAGAAGGGACGCGTTTCACCGGCGGTTCTTGTACCTTCTGCAGGGTTGTA